GTACAGGGTTTACTATAAAACAGAGCGATAAAGAACTGAAGAAAATGCCGTCATTTGCTAGAAAAAATACAACTATATATTTTTCTCTAATACTTCAGTTATTCTAATTTGTTATAAGAATCCAGAGAAATACACACTTATTTTAAATTTTTAATGTAGCCCCATCTGTGTAGGTCATATTGATAGAAGCTATCATCACTACCACAGAAATTAATTAGAGCCCTCAAGCCCATTGGGCTATACAAACATACCTGGGATTAAGAGTATTCTAATCTATTTTTTGCTAATTCAAGTTCTTTAATAGAGTAATATTTAGGACCAGAGTGCTTTGGATTTCAAATTTTTTCAGATTTTGAAATATTTGGATTATATATATTTGCTGGTTGAGCATCCCAAATCTGGAAATCCGAAATGCTTCAATGAGCATTTCCTCTGAACATAATGTTGGTGCTCAAAGTTTTAGATTTTGCAGCATTTCAGATTGCAGATTTTCAGATTCAGGATGCTCAACCTATAAAACATTTTAACATTTCTCACTGCATAAAGTTTTTAAAAAGCAAAAAAGATGGGGGGATTCTTCATCAACAAGTCATGTTTTTTCCTTTTATGTGCAGGGTGTTACAGTTCTAACACCCCATTTATTCATTCCTTGCTAGGGATTTGGAGCGACTCATCTAAGTGGTAAATCAGGTAAGAATAAAATGGGCATGCTCAGTTCAGCCACTTTCCCTTTTTCTATTAGGAAAGAGCTGCCTGAAAAAAGCAGGCATTCTCTACTCCTCGATGCTTATAAGTCTTAACTAGGTAAGCTGTAACACATGGGGGAGGCCTGTCCCAGCCCAGCATTTCCAGTGACAGAGTGAAGAAGTCTACCTAATTCTGACAACCAGTTAGCAGGCTCATTTGGCTCTTATCTTTGGCTGGTTTCTCCAACTAGCCTTTATCATTAACATATGTGATACATTTTGGGCTTCACATGCCACTATTTCATTTTATTTCTCAATTTGCTCAGAATTAAGGTGGAAATGAAGGGTGCTATTTATTGGGGCCCAAATTTTCATTTACTTCTATAGCACATTTAATTTTTTTTTTTTTCCAGAGACAGGGTCTCACTCTGTCACCCAGGTTGGAGTGTAGTGGCACAATCAGCTCATTGCAGCCTTGAACTCCCGGGCCCAAGCCATCCTCCTGCCTCAGCCTCCCAGGTAACAAGGACTATAAGCACAAACCACCAAACCCAGCCAACTTTTTAAATTTTTTGTAGAGATAGGGCCTCACTATGTTGCCCAGGCTGGTCTCAAACTCCTGGCCTCAAGCAATCCTCCTGCCTCAGCATGCCAAAGTGCTGGGATTGCAAGCCTAGCACATTTAATTTTTCCAATACCTGTAAATGAGTAATCTCTCCTTCCCTTAGCTTTAGCTGAGACTGTAGATTTTCAATAATGCTTGATCCTGCTCCCATCCTTACAGCATCATAAAGATTGCTTCCATTTGCTGATGCAGACATTGGTCCAAATGAGTGATCATGAGACTCATCCTATGTTCATTTACAAAGCATACACAATTATTCAGTTAGCATAGACTAAGTTCCATTACCAGGTTCAAACGAGATGGTTCTGTCAATTCTTGCCTTAAAATGTCTATGACTTTCTCAAAGGCAGAAAATCATCTAGATTTCCCCATTGCAATTAGCACTTCTCCACAAATATTCAGATGAACTGCTTGTGGAATAATGGCAAGGTCATGGTGATAGCCTATTAGCCATCTGCATATTCCCTTTATCATTATTCAATTTAAGAACTAAGGACAAATAAAAACTAACGCATCACCTGAGACAGAACAGATGTCTGTAGTCCTGCCATATCAACTCCATTTATTGAACTCGAGCGTGATATGGTGGGAGTGCTAGAAACAGAAAACGGCTTGCGTTCCTTAGAGAATAAAAAAAAATTCTATCAGATTAAAGAGCAAAGAGAGAAAGCAAGAAAATTTTCTAGAATTAATGAGAAGAAAGATTCATTCTAATTTTCCTATAAAATGTTACAGATATGATTTTGAAGTCTTAGGAAAGGTATAATATTTAGTAATTAAAAGCACAGACAGACTTGGCCAAAACATTACAGGACCCATTTATATTGTAACAACATAATTTGTTGTTATTTTTTTAATAGAATGAGAATGTTTTTGTTGATGCATGTATATCAACTAAACTAACTGCTTCATAATGTATAATACACCACCAATTAAACCTACTTCTTTACTATAAAATTTCTGATGAGTTTTACAAACCATAAAGTTTCTGGCTTATCCATTTCATTTTTAGTGTATTTGTTTTTAACTCCAAATAAACTCAAAAGGTAATTTACATTTGCATATAGGTGGTTTTAAGGTATTATGCTAACTCTAAGTACACTACAATTCTTTAAATATAGGAAACTCACTTTAGAAAAATTACCTTCATTAATCAGAAAGAAAGTAAACCAGCCAGTTTTACTCCTAAGGTGCCTATGGGCCAAATGAGGTACACTGGTTTCAGTGACAGACCCCAAAATTCATTTAGAAAGGGATGGGAGGGTCTATAATTCAAATCTTAGAAATCACAGATCTCTTTAGATATACTTGAATTACTTTGGGTACATTCTGAGCAGGATACTGATTATACTATAGGAGTTGATCACTATATTGATTTTGGGCATAAAAAATTGTACTTATAAAGCATAGCTAAAATTATAAAACAATCAATGATTAATCACAACATCTACTAAATAGTTATACCAAAAACAAAAACATCGACAAAATTCAATACCTTTTCTTTTATTGCTTCTTGACTGAAAATGGCTTTCTTCCTTTCTTGTTCAACTTTCATTCTTTCCATTTCTAACTGACTATTCAACAGTGTC